CTCATAGTCTTATAAAAACACACGTTCAGGAAGACAAAATAAAAAGGGCAACCAAGCAACTTCTTGCTATAGATTAGTAGAGCCTGCCATGGGACACAAGCCATCATCCAAGCTGCTGAGGAGGACAAAGCAGGAGGATCAGAAGATGGAGGCTTGAATGGGATTTCATACCTGAAATCCTAGCATTTAAGGAGGCTAAGGCAGAAGGATTAGAGTTCTAAGACATTTCTTGGCTACAGTATAAGACCTTACTGTGGTAATTTAAATGAACATTGTTCCCATAGGATCATTTTTGAGTGCTTCATTTCCACTGGGTGGAACTGCTTGAGATAATTAGGAGTGACCTTGTTGGAGGATGTGTGGCTTTGTTGGAGGATGTATGTCATTGGGAGTAGGCTTTCTGGCTTCCATACCATTCCTCTCTCTTTCTCTTTCTCTCTCTCTCTCTCCCTCTCTCTCTCTCTCTCTCTCTCTCTCCTTCCCTTCCTCCCACCCTCCCTCCAACTTGTCGATCAGGATATAAGACCTTTGCAGTGCCATCACCAAGCCTGCATGCTGCCATGTTTGGAGCCATGATGGTCGTGGACTGTCTGAAACCAAGAAAATCCCCAATAAGCTTTCTAAATATAGAAGTTGCCTTGGTCATGGTGCCTTGTCAAAGTAGTAGAAAACTAACTACATCAACTGCCTTAAAAAAACAAAATGAAAAATCTAGAGTTAAAATTCCCAGAATTCAAGTAAATGTCAAGCAGGCTTGCTGGCCAGCTTGACTAGCTATATCAGTGAGCTCTGGGTTTGACTGAATGCGCCTCAATAAATAAGGTAGAAGAGTGATTGAGAATAATTCTCCAATATCAGCCGTGGGTCTCCACACATAGAAATACACCCACACAAAACTGTGCATACACAGAGATCTCTCCTCTTTCTCACTCACTCACTCACTCACTCACTCACTCACTCACTCATCACTCACTCACTCACTCACTCACTCACTCCCTCACACAAACACACACACACACACACAGGAAAATTGAAAACAAGCCAAACTTGATGATGCATGGCTGTAATTCCAGAACTGGGGACGTTGAGGGATCAGAAGTTCAGGTCACACTTGACACTGGCCTAGACTATATGAGACCCCATCTAAACAAAACAAAACAAAAGGCCAAAACAGACAGCCTGTAATCCCTTTGAGACTGAGGCAGGAGGAGGATCAGGTGTTTGAGGCCAGCCTGGTCTATAGGGTGAAACCTTCTATCAAAGAAAATCCCAAATCAAACAGAGTGAAGATGAGTGCATGTCTAAAGGACTACAGGTGGATGTAGTAAAGAAAAATGAGGAAAGGCCTGGAAGACATTTTTAAAAATCCTTAAAACTGCCCCTTTCAACTCAGGCCCAAAGGCCTAGAAGAGCAAAATGCTTTTAGGGAGGGGAAGAGCTTCCCCAGCCTGGTTGTTCAGGACTTCCTTGGCATTGCTATTCCTCATTTTCAATGAAGTTCTCTATGGTTCCTTTGTTGTTCAAGTGGCCCCCAAATACAGCTTGTACCGTTGCTCCAAAGACTAACTGTGCTGATCCACTTATAGTAGAAGCAGAGATACTGTAGATGTCCTAGACTAGGCTATAGGAGATCAGTGAACTTGCTGCTTAAGCCCGAGACAGGCAGAATCACTGGCAGCATGCAAAGCCAATATGGAAAAGCTATACTGGGAACAGGCTATCAGATATGCAATTTCAAACTATAAGTCTACCCTTCTGGGTTTCAATCTTGTTTTGGGGCCATTACCATTCTATTTCTCTATTTCTTTTGGATGGGGAAAGTTTATTTTAAAAGTCTATTTTACAGGTTCACAGTGAGGGATTTGCCTTGAGTCTTAGACGAGAATTAGAAATTTTGATTTATACTAAAATGAGTTAAAACAATGGAAGCACTTGCATGGACTAAATTTTGCATTGTCAAGAACATGAATCTTGGGGTTCAACAGTTTATACATGGTTTGTACTTTTCAAAGTACTTTTTTTGAGACAAGGTTTTACTATGTAGCACTGGCTGGCCTAGAATTCAGAGATCTGCCTGCCTCTGCCTCCCAAGTGCTGGGATTAAATGGGTATGCCACCATGCCTAGCCCCTCAAAAGAGTTTCATTTTGTTTTGAATCAAGGTTTTACTGTGTAGCATAGGTTGAGCTTGAACTAGTAGTGACCTCTTGTTTCTGCCCCCTGAATACTGGGATTACTGGCATGCATCTATACTGGATATGACAGTATTGGGAGGTAATGAGGCCTCACCAAAATTTGACAGGATACCACCCTCATGAAAGCATTAATGCTTTTCTTTTTACTTTCTTTTTCTTTTTTTGAGATAGGGTTTCTCTGTGTATAACCTTGGCTGTCTTGGAACTTACTCTGGAGACCAGGCTGGCCTCAAACAGAGATCTGCCTGCCTCTGCCTCCTGAGTGTTGGGATTAAAGGCATCTGTCACCACAGCCCAGTTTAAATGATGAATTTATTTCTTCTTTTCTTAAATAATTCACCACAGTTTCTGGGAATTGAACATGGATCTTTCTGTTGTTTTTTTGAGACCGGGTTTCTCTCTGTAGTCTTGGACTCACTTTGTAGACCAGGCTGGTCTCGAACTCACAGATAGTGAGTCCTCCCAGAGTGCTGGGATTACAGGCATGTGCCATCATGCCCAGCTGCAACAAGTGCTCTTAACGAGTGCTTTACTCATGGCGTGCTCTTGCAGAACAGCACACAATTGGCCCCTTCACCCAGCCATTTCCCTTCCCACTTGTAATGAGGCAGTGCAGAAGCTGTGTGTGTGTAGTTTCTCAGACAGTTGAATGGATGTAGCTGCCTTTGAGCCTCCCCCAACTGTTACGTAAATATTACTTGTTTTGTCTATAACCGTGCTAGTAATTTTGTAAAACTAATGCAAAATGGAACACAATTGGGTTATGTTTAGTCATGTCTTTTTTTTTTCAAAGATTTATTTATTTATTTATGTATATGAGTGCTGCATGTACACCTGCAGGCCAGAAGAAGGTATCAGATCCTAGTATGGATGGTTATGAGCACCGTGTGGTTGCTGGGAATTGAACTCAGGACCTCTGGAAGAGCAGACAGTGCTCTTAGCTGCTGAGCCATCTGTCCAGCCCATGTCTTTCTTTTAAAAGAGAGATTTATGGAGTTAAGAGTTACTATTTAGCTGGGCATCCTGGCACATGCCTTTAATCCCAGCACTTAGGCAGGTAGAGGCTGGTGGATCTCTGTTTGAGCCCAGCCTGGTGTACAAAGTGAGTCCAAGAAAGCTAAGGCTACACAGAAAAAAACCTGTCTCAAAAAACTAAAAATAAAGTAGTTACTGTTTAAATAGACTTAAGGTAGTTATTATTAGTTGAGAAATAATATTAAATCCTTTATTCATTCTGAAAACACCTTCACTGTAGCTGTGAAAGTTAGGTACTTCTTCAGCTTTATAAACTAGAACAGAAAACCTGGTCTGAGGGACTCCAAAAGGCATCTGTATTAACTGCAATAAGAATCAGGTCTATCCCAACCAATTTGATTTCTCAGGTGCAACTTGAGTGTGTAAGACATTAGAAATATCTAATAAGAACATTCAGGAGATGAGAACTAAGGTTAGCTGCCTTTACCTGTCTAGCAGCATAATGTCCTAGTGGACTGTGAACACTTTACTCTTGCTCATTCAAATGCTGATTTCTCTACCCCACTATCTGGTTTCAATCCAGACATTGCATTGTGATGTTTATTCTAAACATCTCCTGTCTCAAGTTTGTATAAACGTGCCACCATTTGTTCTCTGTGTTGACAATAAAAGCTGACTAGCCAATGCTGAGCAATAGAGATGAGGGTGGTACATCCTGGTCTGGTGAGGGGAGGAGAACGGAAGTGGAGGTTGGATCCCTGAGGAGAGGACAGGGTAACATCAGGAGAATGAACCAGACCTAAGATATGATTAAAAAGCAATTATAATATGGGAAATCTGAATGGGAGGAAGCTATACCAGTGTAGAGGTTTAGGAGTAATTATTGCTCAGTATTGTGCTCTAGGCTAATTAAGTAAATCCTAGTCCCTCTGTGTAGTTATTTGGGTATTCAGTTGGTTAGAGAGTAACCGCTGTTTTACTAGAAGTATAAATCAATATTAAATATTAATAACCTTTCAACACCTGTCACTTAAGTAGCTCATTTTACAAAATCAAATCACCCATGCTTGTTCTGAGTTACTGAATCAAGGGAAGACTTTACTTATGCTTCAGCCTTCAAATTACCCGGAACTATTGGTGCATGGGACCATGCCTCACATAATTAACATTTCTAATAGGTCTTATTATCCTTTCTATGGGTCACTTTGCATATGCATATTTCTTCTACATAAATAGCTAAGTGAATAAGTGATAGCTATGACATGGTTTTCAATTTATAAAGTCATTCTACACTGGTGAGTGGAAAGTGAAAGGAGGGAGATTTCCAAATGTCTTTTTCTAAAGGTGGCCCAAAATGGGAAGGGAAGGAACAAGTACTGTACAGGTTCATGACAGACATCTAAGGAATGTGCACGTAAATCAAAACAATTAAAATGTGTTCTCAATATTGGATTATTACATATGTGTGGAGTCAGAGACCTGGGTTTGGATCTAGACTTTACCACTTACTGGCCCTTAGAAAACTCATTCATCTCCTCAAATTTGCCATCAAAAGTGGAAACTTATGTTAGGACAATTACCTCACAGTTTAAACCCTAGCTAACACAACAGTAGGTTACAACTCTGGCTCATGTGCAAATGTGGAGAAAGGGGACCCACTGGAAATGTGTTAGAATTGCATGTAAATTAACAGGTAACACATGGCTGAGGTAGGTGCCTACCATCCCAAAGCTAGTACAAACTTGAAGACTTGGTTTCTTAAATCTTCTCAACTGTATATATTTGATTAAAAAAAAAAAAAACATTTAAGCCAGATGCAGTATGACTGAATTTTAATAAGGTGACATACTCATTTAACATAGCCTTTATTTTTGTTTCAAAACAAAAATTCCAGAAAACAAAATCTTTAACAACAGTTGGGTAGTAATTAAAATAAAAATCACAGTTTCGAATCAAAACCAGACAACTGCTGAAAGGTAGATCACTTAGCTTACAAAAAAAAAAAAAAAAAAAAAAAAAGGAAAAAAAAAAGATCATGTTAAAAGGGGTTAAATTAAGTTTAATAGCATCCTAATATAATGCTACATTCCCAAATTAAGAAAGGAGAGTTCACATATATAACTAAATGTTAAGTATTGAGAATTGGCTGAAATTCTACATACTTCATGGTAAATTATGCATGAAAGTTTAATTGCATAAACTTCCTGAGTGGCTCCCATGCTGCGCTAGGTCTACATGCTTAATATTCGTATTAGACAAATTATAGCTTTAGGTGATTGAGCATGACAGACCTTCAACTGCACTTTCTGATCAGTCATTATATCCACTATCTCTGCTGAGGGGTCTAGACTACAAATCTCAACCTTAAATCTTAAATTAGAGTGGAAAGAAATACAATGTAAAAAAGCTAGAAGGCCAACAAATATGCATTTCAAAGCATTGTTCCTTCAGAGCTCAGTCTTTCCCTTGCCTTCTTGCCTGATTTTTAACTTTTAAACAGTTTGTGTTGTTTTACTTCAAAGAAAACCTTCCAGAATCGGAGCTGTTGATCTGGACACTCTTTCAACCATTTCAGTGGAAAATAACTTTAACCTGGTTACTACTTTGGGCCCATTCACATATTAGTTGGTCAAGGTCCCTGATCAATGTTTAAATTTATCCTACACACACACACACACGAAATTATTTCCAGGGTGGTCTGAAAGTATGGCTCTGTACAAATTGCATACCAATTTTACTTAAAAGAAAATTTTAGTATGTTTGAGTATTTTCATTTTATAATCTGGATTAGATTTAAAAATTTTAACCCTAGAATTATGTTTAGCAAATCAAAAGCCTTTTCTATATACACATACCTTTCTCTTATATCTTCTAAATAAAGGGACAAACTACAGGTTTGAAAAAAATCTATTCTAGAAAATGGCTTGCATACCATCTCAGAAGGCTCAGGTTTTTGTTTTTGTCTTTTTTAAATCAAACAGAATGTGAGGTAACTGAATCACAAGTGGATGGCAAATATACCTCAGGAATATACTTATAAATGATGACTGAAATATAATATTTACTAATATTAAAAATGTAGTGTTATACAGTAAACATGTGAAACAAGGAATATCCAGTTACAAACATTTGCTGAGTTTTTTTAAAGGGGGAAAGGGAATTTTTAATGATTAGAAAGTACAGCAAAGAGAAGTCAACTCCATAAACTGCAGAGATTAGATAAGCAATTTTCTAAACCGTTATTTACCAACTATGATTCAAATGAAATGCATTCTGCCATTTTAAGATAACAAACATACAAGGCAGTATGTTAATATTTTGGAGATGGGTCACTGTCATAAAAGGTCAAGTATTTCACTGTGGTAGTTAAAGCAATTTCAACCCATAGCCCTTTAGGCACTGAGATGAGAAAGCATCACCAGTACATGTGAAGTTGCAGGTACTGAGATTGTCTCACTTCAGTACATTTGAATCATTTGTTTATTCGAAAAATGAATTTCCACCACTAAGTCTTATATTGCCACCAATTTGATGTCTCTCTTTGCTTTTCATCCCCATATCCCCTAACTTTATTCCACATAGGTGCATAGCACTCATCACTTAAACACAGATTGGTGGCAGAATGATGGTTCCTGTCAACTCACATGCATGGTGAGTGCTAGGACAAAAAAGGCAAGCCAGATTGAGAATCTAAAACATAAAGAATCAAGGCAAAAAAGCAAATTTCACAGGCAACATTTACTTGTGCACCTAAAACAGTACTGAAAAATGAGGTAGATAAACAAAAGTAACTGGACTGCAATTAAATCTGGGGTTTTTAGATGATAACATTGCATTGTACCGTAGAAAACACTCTACACTCAACCCACAAATCACAGCGAAAGTGCCTTTTAAATGTTCACAGTTAATTTTCCTTGTCAAACTATTAGAACTTACACTTGATATAAGCAAGGAAGAGATGAAAAACTGCAGGGATATTTGTTAAACTATAGCAAACTGCTTTAGATTCAAGACTGCTCCAGGTATATGAAGGGTTATCTGCACTGAATACAGCAGTACTGGTTTCACAGTCTTAAGATGTTATACTTAACTTCACAGATACAACAGCAGTACTTCATGGTGAAGTGCTCACGGTACCACACATGAAGACACAACGCTGCTCATCAGCTATGCACTTGGAGAGGTAAACAGAGTGGCTGGACCTTTAGACTATCTCCCAAGGAAACTTGATAAATGGTGGTTAAGTGCAACCTTTATGTTGACTACAAGAAAGAAAATGAAAAGGATAGGTTTTCATGCTTTCTAGAAATGAACAGAAGGCCCATTATATGCACTAGGCTCTTTGTCAAAGGAAATGGGAACTTCTGAGTGTTATCTGGAATTTATTATTTATGGGGGAGGAAAAGTACTTCAGGCAAAAATGGAAACAACATTATTCTAAGACTTAGCAAAATTATGAAATAATACAAAATCCCCATTCTAGAAAACTAACCAATATTTACAATCAAAGTGACTGTAATCTGAATCAAATCAAAAAGTAATGAGGAAAAGTAAAGAAAACCCCACAGCAAAGCAAATAACATTGTTTTCTTCATTTCTGCACACTCTTCTTTTTCTGTACACTTTAACTTCTACACATTACATATACATAATGTATATGTAACATATATGTTAACCCAGATACTGCAGTCAGCATGGAGACAGCAGTACACTATTCCCATCTTCAAACTGTAGAAGATGACTTTTCTTTCCAGCAAAACCTGAAAAGATTCTAAATATTACAAGGCACTGCAAACATCTGCAGGCAAACAAGAATGATGAATTATATGTAAAACTGAGATGTTTAACGAAACACAGGACATACTATGTAGAGCAGCCATTAGTAAATGGGATTGTACATGTCATCTGTGGGGCTTTTTTCACAGTGGGGCATACTGTTTAAAATGATTGTGATTAGAGATGATCCAATCTTTAAAACCTGTAGTGTTTTATGTTATAGGTTAGTTAGCCCAATATAATTACACAAAAATCAACTGATAATGAAACAAGGACAGTTTTAAAGAACTATGGATTTTAGGAGCATTGTTTTTTGTACTTGTGGAAAACAAGTACACTACATTAATATCCTAAAAATCACTTCAACCTGTGAAGCAATACCATAGAAGGAATTTGAGGAATCTGTGCATAAGCTCTGGACTAATCCAAAACAGGATGTTTTAGGAAAAGAAACTGTGGCTCTTACCAATAGCAATCCACAGACTACCCTCAGTAACAGTGACAAAAATGTGATGATGGGTGTGATCTTTAGGTTAGCACTAAAAGACAATTTTAAAAAAGGGTACTGAATGTCACAAAGTACACTGTATGAATAAAAGAAGCACACCCATTAAGTTTTTCTCACTTCCCGGCAAGCCCACAGGGGTAAGTTTTTAGAGGAATATGGAGGAAAACCTGTTAACAAAAACAAAGATCACAAGTTGGAATGGTTACCAAGAGAATTCCTAAATAGGAAAACATGTATTAGAAATGACTTTCAAAGATTCAGTGAATGGTAAGTCATTTGAACACGTATAGGGAGGATTTGATATACACCATGTAAAAAGTCTATTTTGGGTTTTCACAGACTGAATAGTAAGTAGGCGATCTTTAAGATTACTAAAGTGAACCTTCCTAAAAACCAAAGGTGTACATTTTGACACTGCCTCCCTTCCTCCTAAAACTGGATAAAACCCAGTAAAGTGCAACTTGACAGTGAAGTCTCTCAAATTCTCAAGAGGCTGACAAATGATCTAAAATGCTCTAAGACTACAGCTACTAGTAAGAAATTAGAACAACCCCCAAATTGTCATCAAAACAGGTTAAAGGCAATTTAAATAATATGATTCTAGGGTGTACTATTTCACTGCATCTAAGAGATGTACCGTACATCTCTTAGAACCCTGTAAAGCCAGTGTTTTATGTAAAAGTCTCAAAAGCTACAAACCCTAGTGTGTCAAGTACATTTCACTTTAGAAGAATGGATTAACAAAAGTGTTAACCTGAATCTCCTTGGTTAGGATTATAAGGATTACCCCCAAATGAGATTCACATTAGCTGCAATGTCTAGCAAAAGAATGCAAGCCAAACCAGTGCCTTTCAAATGCTTAAAACCAATGGAGTGTGCACATGAGAAAAGATGGCTGCTTTGGGTTATTACTGGAACCCAGAAGCAGCTCTGGTAGCTGTAGGTTCAAGGAACTGTTACAGTTCTGCTTTCTTTTCCCTCCGCCTCACTCAAAACAAGCCCTCACTCCTACTGCTGTGATGACGGGAAGAAAATCACATTAAAACACTCATGTTCTGTACTGCTTGGAAAAGTATACTAAATTTATCCATCAAAACATTTCCTGCAGCCAGTTACTGCCTTCTGTGAAAAGTAAACCTAAGATAGATGTGACGAATTCCACAAGATTGGCTATTGGAGGCTCTTACACCATCCACATTTGGGAAGAACCAATCTATATATTTTGTACACATTTTAAAGAAAAGTACCATACAACTGCTGGCAGCAGCATAAAAAAGAGGGCGGGATGGGGTGAGAGCGTCTCAGCAACACACGGACGGTGTCCTTTCTGGAAGTGGTAACACTCAAGCTGAGATCATTAAAGCATTCTGAACAGTATTTTTTTTTAAATCAAGTATCAAAGAGGATAGGATTTGAAGTGAAAAAAAAACATTTTTGTGTGCACATTACTACAGAATGATGAGCTGTATCAGATATCACATTGGAACAACAACAACAACAACAACAACAACAAAAACAGTTCAAAGTAGACACAAATGAGAGAAAATATGGCAGAACTCAAGAAGAAAGTTTAGTATCACAGGTGTTCTGAAAGTTCCCTCCCCTTACATCAGCATTTGCTTGGATTCATTTAGGACCTGGAGGGTTGGAAGCTGGATTCTGCCCTGATGGACCTGGAAATGCCTGCAAATTCATCCCGGGCTGGAAGAGTCCCCCAGGTTGGGTAGGAACCACTACAGGCTGCTGTGTTGTTCCCGAAATTCCTACCCATTGTACTGGATACCCTGCGGCCCCTATAGCATTATACTGACAAACATGGGGCATTCCGTATGATGATAATGGCCCTGGAAATGAAGGCAGTGGGAGTCCTTGTGGCAAGGAGGTTGGGACAGCTCCATGAATTGGGGGGAGAGAAGAGATCCAGGTTGATGTGTTGTAGCCCATAGTAGATGGAGTACTCTAACAAAAACACAAACAAACAAAAAAACAAAAGGTCAGTTCATTTGGCATATTGCTTTATCAGTCTCTACTGCTATTCTTCTTGGCTCACTACTTCTTCTATTATAGTGAGTGGAGTATCTTTCTGTGAGTTATTCATTGGTAACATCCTTGACTTCAGCTCATTTCCCTAACTGTCCTGCCTTTTAGTATAAGCCATTTTCAGATGAGGAAACAGAAACTAAAATTGGTAAGTAACCTGATAGCACCAAGCGAGGCAGGGACTTCAAAACTGTTCCAAATAACTCCAAGAGACATATTAATTCCCCGTTCACATGTTAGTCCCTACTTGACTCGCGTTAACACTATTATTTTGCTTTTACTTCATTATTACAGCTGTAGATGTGCTTTCACCTATAGGCATAGATGGAAATAGACCAGCTTACTTACACGATCCTCTGGACACAGAGGAACATAATTAGTGCAACAAGGGGACCTAACATATAGGAAATGCTCCATAAACATCTCCTTCCTGTCCTCTTCTCACTGTCTTTAAGTCCGACACTTCTGTTATTTTCTTTTGCTTCTGTGGGTACTTTGCCTGCATGTGTATATGGGCAGCATGTGCATGCCGAACCAAGGGAGGCCAGAGACAGTGCTAGATCCTCTGGGACTGGAGTTACAGACAGAAGTAAGTCACAATGTAAGTGTTGGGAACTAAATCCAAGTCTTCTGAAAGAGCAGCTAATACTCTTAGCCACTGAATCATTTCTTTAGCCCTTCTGTTGTATTCTTACCTATCTACTTTCATTCTTGTGTATGTACAGGCAAAAGGCCCACTTTGGGTATGGTTCCTCAGGTGCTATACAACTTTTTGTTTGTTTTTTTGAGGCAGGGTCTGTCACTGGCCTGAAGCTCACTAAGTAGGTGAGGCTGGCTAGCTAGCAATCTTCAAGAATTCCCCTGTCTCTGAATCCCCAGTGCTGGTAGTTATGCATGTACTACACACACAGCATTTTCATATGGGAACTCAAGTCCTCATATTTTCAGGGTAAGTACTTTATTGATTAAGCTTAACTTCCCACCCTCCCATTCTTCTAAATTTAAACTGAAAACCACAAGACAGTTGTGTTTTGGGAAGTACTGAAAAGATATATTCCTGACTGCCTGGCTATTCTTAACAAATTATACTGTGACTAACAGATATATAGAAATTATAATACATTCATAATATACATGGAATAATGATTCCAATAGATGTAAATAATTCTCTTAAGAGCCTCAAATCCTTAGTTCAAGCTAAAACTAAATTTTCAATTATGCTTTTGTTATAAACTTTCAATAAGTTAGGATAAAAGTTTTAAGTTTTACTTGAAAATGAATGTCAATATATATTGACTTATAAAATATTTTTTATTTTACTTAAAGTTCAGCAATCTTTTCTTATCAGTATTTACTTTCTGCTAAGGTAAAATTAAATTTAATGCTTCTGGTTCAAATCAACAATATAGTATGAGCACATTTGAACAAAATTATTTCAATGCATCCATGTACACTTATAGAAAATGATCTGAGATCTTTACCTGAAGATGATGACAAACACTTCTTGGAGGTGGGATCTGAAAGTGATATTTTAAAATTTGTACTTTTTTCATTGGTTAAGTTAGGTAATAAGTATCATTGTTTTAAAAGCAATAGTATTTTTTTAAAGACTGAATTAAAGTTATAAGTCTACTCTTGAACATTCCTAAGCTATCTCTGATTCGAATGCTCAAACAGGCAATCTTCCCTTACTAAAACCCATTGTCTGCTCATGTGTACCATTTCAGTAGTCAGTATCCAGGAATAATACACAGACAGCAGCCACCACCAACCAAGTCATACAGTCATTCAATAACCAAATCTTATCTTATTTCTCTTAAATATCAACTAGAACTCCTGATTGGTTAGAAAACATTGACCCCAATCCCATCAAACTCTGTCTTCTTGTTTCAGTCAGTGCTCTTCTCAAAACAAATGAACAATGATTCAAGCATCATCCTATTAATTAATGGCTATCCATATTTTAAAAAATAAATACAGCATTCTATATCACTACCACATTTAAGACCCCATCGACTCATTAGATTTATTGTTCACCACTCCTTGCTCGTTTCACTTCAGGCAGATTGGTTTACTTTCAGTCCTTCATGTTTCTTTCGTCACATCAGGCTTTTACACATGCAATTTTTCCTGCCTAGGTAGGAACTAAGAACTAGTTAACTCCTACTCTTCCTGTAGATCTCAGTTCAATTATCACTTTATCAGAGAAGCTTTCCTTAACTACTCACAAACTAATGTGGACATTAGTTCTCTCCTACCACATGGATTCTTGAAAGTAAACTTGAGTAGACAGGTTTGGCTATAAGTGCTTTTCTTTATCCACTGGGCCATCTGGCTGGCCCTCACTGACAACTTTTTAGTAGATCAAATTTCCCTAAATGTATGATATTCCCCTTATACCTTTCTTGTAGTTCTTATTATAATTGTGATTTAATACTGATTGAATGGCTTTATTTGCTTTTACTGTGTCTAGCAGAGCACTTGGCATACAATAAAGGGCTTGATACACAAGTATGCAAACAAAAGTGTCTAAGTAGGGCTAAAGAACAGTGCCATGCCAAAACATTAATTGATTCTCTACACAAATATAAATCAACAAAATTTAAAATACAAAAATAGTTACTAAATATAAGTAACTCCTGTGATGGTCTAACTCTCTTGGTACTAATCTTTACAGTAACCCTGCAAGGATTATTCACATTTAAAACACAAGAACTCTGAGGCAAGGAGACATGAGGTCATACAACTAGTAAATGACTAGCTGAGACTGAGACCCAAATCTCTTAAAAGATCAAAAGATCTTTACCACTGTTTTTTCCCCCCCCAAGACAGGGTTCTCTGTGTAGCCTTGGCAGTCCCAGGCTTACTTTGTAGACCAAGCTAACCTCGAACTCACAGAAATCCACCTGCCTCTGCCTCCCCAAGGGCATGTGCCACCGTGCCCAGCTGATCTTTAGCATTTTTATTCAAACCTTTTACCTCACAATTTTCTATTCACAATTTTCTCCTTATCCTTCTTGTGAACACCCAACTTTGTAGTCAGGAGGAGAAGAGGGAGGAAAGGAGGGAGGGAGGGAGAGATTGGGGGAAGATGAGGGAGGGGCCACAGCCGGGATATAAAGTGTAATAAATAATTAATAAAAATTAATAAGTAATTAAATAAATAAAAATTTGAACACAAAAATTTATAAGGTAAAGTCTAAACTTCACCATCCAGCATATTGAGGGCTTTTCATATTTATATATTCATAAACATATGCCTAATATAAAATATAAATTATATTATTCTATACTTTCTGTTGGATAAATCTATCTTCTTCCCATTTCAAAGTACATTATGAACTTCCCACATAACCCTTAATCTTGTATACCCAAGTGTAAAACCTAGTATCTTTTCTATAAACTCAATAGACCTCATAACATTTCACCTTCCAAAGCCTTAAAATTCTTTTTTATGTTAAACAGAGATAGCTCAGATACCTTATTGGGTTTAAGAACATTGATGTGCTGCATAGGACATCTTTTCTTCAATACTTAGTTCTTCTTGTACCATCAGATTTACTCCCTCTCTAGATGAATTCTTTTTGAATATTTTATAATTTTAGAGAGAGAGAGAATAATATAAAACTAGAGCCAGCAAATTATGGCTTACCAATTCTTTTCATAAATCATGTTTGTTTGGTTTTTGAAGCACAGCAAACTGATTTGTTAAGGAAAAATAAAAAAGAACTACTATGAATGGGAGAGGCCTTTGATGGAGGAATATTCCATAAATCATGTGGTAATAGAACAGAACCATAACCATTTGCTTACATATTTTCTTAGACTGCTTTTGCATTATAATCAATTTGATTCATGGAACCCTGTGGCTTGGAAAGCCTAAATAAAATGTTTACTAATGGGTCCCTTCATAAAAATTTGGCAACTCATGGTCTAGAAGTTAATTTGCTCAAAGACATGATAAACCTAGATAAGGATCAAAGTCTCAATATCATTGTCATAACATTTTTGCACAGCAACTATAATCATAGGCCCATTTTTGGTTTTTAATTTTCATGAAGAGGCTAGATGATAATAAGCAACTTACTTCATATACCTTGTTCCAGTTTTCTGCCTCTAATTTCTGTTGGCTCTGTTTGAGTTGGTTTAAACTTGGCTTACTAGGAAAATTTCCTACTGCTTCTTTTGTCCAGTCATCCACAAGTTTGTGCAAATCATCTGTAAACATCCCCTTTTTACTGGCTGGAGATTGCTGGCACGACGCTGTATTATTCCCCTCACCCAGTTCCTCTACAAGAAAACAAAAGAAAACAAAACAGGAAAATCATGTAAAGGAATTTCAGCTGATAATTAGATAACTCTCCTATGTGTTTTTTTGCTTTTTAAAAAAAATTTAACATGTAATTGTGTGTGTGTGTGTGTGTGTTTGTGTGTGTACGTATGTATGTATGTATGTATGTCACAGGACAACCTGCAAAAGTAATTATCTCTTTCCACCATATAGGATCCCAGAAGTCAAACTCAGGTTATCAGGCTTGGAGGCAAGCTCCTTTGCCTACTAAGCCATTTCTCTAGCACAAGGTAACACTTCTTTGAATAACATATATGAGATAAGGGTAACTACAAATTATAGTTGACTTGAGAGTGCCAATTTAAAGCTGTTATGCTGGTGTAGTCACTAAATAACCTTTTAACAGTTAAAAGTTTCTTATAGCTTGGATATCAAATTAAAAGATTATCATAGATATAAACCATGTATGATAAACAGGCTCACCAAAATATTAGTATAACTTTTATCCTTTTATTAGTTTCTTTTAATAGATATTTGGAGAAGTTAAAAAATAGTCATGTGTACCTACAGAAGCCAGGAAATTAAAAGGGGGCTATTGGGAGTATGGGTGGAAGGAAAAAAAGAGGGTTATTGGAGAAAATGAGGAGGGGGTGAGAGAATAGGGTGAGAGGGTTGGAGGAGGGAATAACTACCTAAAGGATGTTTGAAAAAGCTACATGTAACTAGTATGCTACAAACTTCAGTATATACATATAAGAGTTTAAATGAAGTTATATCTATATAAGGGTCAATGCTTCCCTTAGAAGTCAGGCTACTAAATAAACAAGCCCAGTGCCAGGTGTGAGAGGTCTCAGAGACCCCTAAATCAACATAACCTATTGCCAGTGGGCTTGGTTGCCCAATAGAATGTGATGGTTATACCCTATTGCAGGAGACACCACACACTTTAGTTACAGGCCTTGGAGAAATCAAGCTGGTACTGACCCAGAAGCTTTTTCTTGTTGTCTACTTTTCATAGTACAGCAGGTTGCTAAGGGAAAAAAAAGTCATCAAGAGTTTTACCCAGCTGTGACCCCTGTAAGGTATAATGACTGTCCTGGCAAGTACAGTAGTGACATGAATGTTATGGGAGAAAGCAACCAGTTTCTACACAGATTTAAGGCCCTTTCCACAAGAGAGAACTTGTACCTGGTACTGTAAAGCTAGCCAGGAAACCTGGATGGGGAGCCAGAGGTTCTAGCAGTGAACCTACTACTATTATTTTGCTAAATGGATATAGTACTTAAACATTTTCATAATATACTGCTGTACCCATATATTAGTGCACCTCTCAGTCCTCAACAGGACATCTACATTACACATCTCTCCTGAAGACTCAGAACATTGCAGAAGGTAAATAAAGTTTCTAAGATCCAGAGGTTGGGGAAGACTGGGGCCAAATTGTCTTGGACATGACAGGATCATTGCATTTATGAACTCACATCTGGTTGTGGTTGACTGTACAATACCTGCAAAAGATCAAACTAATCGACATTTCAGAACAAGTCGGGGAAGGGCAGTATGGTGGTTTGAATAAAAATTGCCCCACAGGCTCATACATTTGAATGCTTAGTCATCAGGAAGTAGTACTACTTGATGATTAGGTATGGCCTTGTTAGAGTACGTATGACCTTATTGGAGAAGGTGTGTCACTGAGAGTAGGCTCTGAGGTTTCAAAAGCCCAACCCAGGCCTAGTGAGCTCACTCACTCTGCCTACTGCCCGTTGATCTGGATACAGAACTCTCAGTTAGTTCTCTAGCACCATGTCTGCCTGCATGCCGCCATGTTCTCTGCCATGATGATCATGGACTAATCCTCTGAAACTATACACAAGCCTCAGTCAAAATGTTTCTTTTCTAAGAGTTGCCATGGTCATGGTGTCCCTTCACAGCAACAGAACTTTGACTAAGACAGGCATTCAACCTTCCACCCCTACCTGAGGAACTATTGGCAACTGGTGGTTTCTAGGAAAGAGAGTTTTCTTTAGGGGTTTGGTTTTTGGTAGGTTGATAATGATCTTAGTGGATGACCTCATACAACATGGGTAGCAGTTATTGGATTCTTGGGTTATTTAAGCAAAAAATAAGTTGGGAAGGAAATGTGGTGGGATCTAAAAAGAGTTGGAAGAGTGGGGGAGAATATGACTGGAAAACATTATATACATTTAAGAAATTCTAAACAAATAAATAAAAACATTAAAAAATATCTACAGGGCTAGGAATGTGCTCTAGTAGAACACTGCTTGTGTAGCATGTATGGCCATGGGTTCAAGCCATGCAAGAGGAAGAGGAGCAAGAGTAGGAGGCAGCAACATCATAGAATGATAAAAATAGGAACAAACTTTTTAATATTTACTAACATTTCTGTTTATGACTAAAATTCAAGAAGAATCAGGCATTGTAGCAGATACTGCTACCATTAATACTGGGGAAACTGAGGCAGGAATATTCCAAGGTCAGAGGAAGCTAGCCTACATAGTGTGCTTTTTAAAAAAAAAAAACGGAGGCTGAAGCAGGTGAGGTGGTGCACTCCTATAATCCCAGCACTCAGGGAGGCAGAGGCAGGTGAATCTCTTTGAGTTCAAGGCCAGCTTAGTCTACAGAGCAAGTCTAGGACAGCAAAGGCTACACATAGAAACCCTGCCCACCCCCGCAAAAAAAACCAAAAAAACAAACAAACAAACAAAAAAAACCCCAAAAACTCAAAAAAAAAAAAAAAACCAAAACAAAATGGAGGCTAAAGAGATGGCTTAGTTGTTTAATAGCATTGGACCTGGGTTTTATTTGAAGCATCTACATGGTGACTCAGTATCTATCATTCCTATTTCAGGAGATCTTATGCCTTTTTCTGGCCTCCACATGTAGAGGCATGCATATGATACACAGACATACAGGCAGGCAAAACAGCCATAAACATAAAATAAAAATAAAAATTAAAAACAATGAAATAAAAGCAAACAAGCAAATACATGACAAGACAAAGAAATAGCACCAGAATGTTGAAAAACTACCAAGCAAGAAGACCGTACTTTCAAAAAGGAAGGGAACCCCTAGGTAACACTATGCTGCAAATTCCTTGAATGGGAGTAACTTTCTTTTTATAATGACAGAGAATATGCTTGCTATATATGTATGTGGAGATCACTTAGAAAAGTGAATACCAGTCTCCCGAAGGTGAATTTTAACTTATGAAGAAAAAAGATCCATCATATAGGAAGTGTGCATGTAGTAGAGTTAAAGATAATCAGTGTCTTTCTGGGGGAGCAAATAATCAGTTCTAAGAGTTCAAAAGCAGATAAAGTTGGCTCTATGCATGAAAGCAGAAATGAATAAAAAAATTTAAAAAAACATAAATGTGACTGGCATTTGAAAAGAGAAGAAAGAAAGAAAGAAAGAAAGAAAGAAAGAAAGAAAGAAAGAAAGAAAGAAAGAAAGAAAGAAAGAAAGAAA